GTAGCAGTTGGGGCAGGGTTACCGCAAGCAAATTAGATGGGGACTCTGCAACCATGTGCATATACTTCCCATAAACTAACTGAGACTGAAAGAAGATGGACCATCTGGGAAAAAGAAGCTTTTGCAGTTCGCTGGGCTCCGTTAACCTGGAGGCATTTTCTAGAAGGGGCAAAACACCCATTTGAGGTGTGGACGGATCATAAAAATTTGGAAGCTTTGAAAACACCTCGGAAGCTGTCTCCTAAGCAAGTTTGCTGGGCTCAGTACTACAAATGCTGTAATTTTTCATTGAAGTACATTCCAGGGGGAAGAACTTCATGGCAGATGCTTTATCTAGATTACCTCAATATAATAGTCCCCGCTCAGAAGTGGTTCAGCCTATTGTCCCCACCAAACAGTTGGTGGCTCCAGTGGTTACCAGAGCCCAGAAAAAGAAGGAAGTTGAATTATCAAATGATTTGTCTTCCCAATTCAAAGAAGCTCTGAAACTTGATGATTGGTTCTTGGCTCACTCAAATGACTGTACAGTTAGAGATGCATTGGCATGGATGGGGTCCAAATTATATGTTCCAGAAAAGTTGAGAAACCAAATATTACAGCAAGCTCATGACTCTAAAGTTGCTGGACATTTTGGATTCGTGAAAACCTTACACTTGGTTAAAAGGCAATTTTGGTGGCCTACCTTGAAAAAGACATAGAGGCTTATGTGGCTAGTTGTCCTATCTGTGCCTCAGCCAAACGGCCACCTGATAAACCAGCGGGCTTGCTATAAAATGTGGCTAGGCCAACTGCCCCATGGAAAGAAACTTCTATGGATTTTATAGTAGAATTACCTGAAAGTGGGGGAAATACAGTTATTTGGGTAGTAACAGATTTGTTTTCCAAACAGGCACACTTCATACCGTGTGCAAAGATCCCATCTGCGAAAACTTTGCCTAAACTGTTTATTTTACCTATCTATAGGTTACATTGTGTTGCTGAACGCATAATCTCAGATGGGGTGTCCAGTTTACCTCAAACTTTTGGAAGGAGTTCCTGAAGTTATTAGGCTCCACCCAGGGCTTAAGCTCCACTCACCACCCACAAACCAATGGAGCTTGTGAGAGAACTAACTCGGTATTGGAACAGTATCTTAGATGTTATATAAATTATCAGCAAGATGATTGGGCTGACCTATTGCCATTTGCTGAGGTGGCAAATAACAATTCGGTACATAGTAGTACTGGGTTTACTCCATTTAAAGTGGTTTCGGGACAAGACTTTGTACCTATACCCAAGCTTCCACAGAAGAAACCTAACATTCAGTCACTGAATGAGAAGGATGTTCGAGCTCCTAAGCTTGTCAAGGCATTTCGTACAAAATGTCCTGATAAACCCTGATTATGATGTTATATATATATATATATATATATATATTATTCTTTTATCTTTTATTATTTCTCTTTTTTAGGACTAACGCCACTTTTTCGGGGGGGGGGGCGAATGTCAGCCTTCAATATTTTCTTCCTTTGCTTTGCATCTTTCAGCTGTCATAAGTAACAGGGGGAGGAGGGGGGACATGATTATGGGAAGCGAGCTGGAGGTTTAACAAAACAGAACTGTATAGGTTGGGGGGGACGTTTCTTGCTTAGGCCTCTATCCTATGCTATGCGTAACCGCAACTCTTTATCAAAATATGCCAAGGTCAACGGACAGAGGCATCATCACCATCTGGAGATGCCCATATGATGCTATACACAAATTTTAATTGGATGAGCCAATTGAACAATTGGGGGTGGGAACGTTGCCATCACTTTGTATATGTGATTTACATGCTCATTTTCTCAGATTCAAAATTCTTTTGTTGCTACCACTTGATTTCCAGTAAAAGATATCTTTTCTCTAATTAATGGAGTCTAAGTATTTCTTTCTTGGATTTTGAATGGAGCACCATATGTTACTTGTATTTCAGAAACTTGCCTAAAGATCAATGTTATGAATAATAATACAACTTTTACTATAAGTAGTAGAATCTTGCAAGTCTAAATGACCCTCTTCCCTCTTACTTTTACATTTAAGAGAAGCAGAGATGGTATTCAGCAGGTTCTGACCAGTTTGGAAGAACCAGTAGAGGAAATTTTGAGTAGTTCAGAGCAGGGGTCCCCAACCACCGGGCCGCGGACCGGTATCAGTCTGTGGAACATTTCCTACCGGGCCGCCGGTTTGCTGGGCGCCGCCATCTTGTTTGACGAGAAAGTGCTTCTGGGTGATCTTTTCTGGTTGGAAAGCGGCGTTTGGGTCCTGAAGGAATCCTCGCGCCTTAGTTTCATCGAAGGGGGGGGCTTCGAACAAAACTAAGGCACGAGGATTCTTTCAGCACCCAAGGCAAGGCGAGCCGAGCGACCATCCTGAAGCCGTCCCGAAGCGAAGCCCATCGACAAAGGTACAAAGGAGTAGTTGAAGGTGGTGGAGAGAAGCGGGGGATGGCTGGCTGGCCGGTCACTCGGCTCGCCTTGCCTTGTCATGTGTACTGATGCTGGTACCGGGCAGCAGATCATTTTGTGATGCCAGTACCAGGCCGTGGCACAAAAAAGGTTGGGGGCCACTGGTTCAGAGAACTGGCAAATACCACCCCTGACTGGAGATTTCACAGTATCCTTCCCCTGCCAGGCCCACCAAGCCACACCCACAGAACCGGTAGTAAAAAAAATTGAATCCCACCACTGAAGAGAACTAGGGAGGGTCAAATCTGAGATACTCAGATTACATTTCAGTTGTATTTCAGCCAATTACAGTTAGTTTCTGGAGAAAGGGCTTGTGTTTCTTTCTAATACATGGACTGCCATTTGTGTAGGGAGAAGGCACTGTCCACCCCTATGATTGACAAAGCTAGACTTCGGAAAAGATTATATGTGACCCAGTGTAGAGTATATCATTGTTCACAATATACGTGGTGGAACGTAGTCTGGAGTCACTGTAGGGAGGGGCTCATTCCCAAAGAGCAAAGAGACAGCAGAGTTTGGAATCCTTGATAGGCAGGAAGAAGGCAAAAGTGAGAAACTGTCTTATGAGAAAGATTTAATTTTGTGTATGTCTTGTTTTCAAAAGGTAATGTGGCCATTTTCACAACTGTAATTGATTGCCAATTTTTCACTGTGTCATTATCTGCCCAGTAGAGTGCTAGAGTCCCTAAAGGCTTCCTGTACTTACACTATGAGTGTTGTACTATGATATGTAAGTTGCAATTGTAAATATTTACACTTTCATTTTTAAATATAATAAAGCTTGCAAGGTCTGAAGAAGACTTCTGATTTCAGGGTGCTTTTAATAAAATACCCCTTCATAAACAGAATGCAAGCATTTCTGTAAACTTGATTATCTGACCTTAATTCCTCCTCATGACAGTTCGTATTGCTTGAGCATCTTTTCTGATTTAGGTATTTTCCCTGTCCTCTACTAAATCCCCTTTTGTTCTTGTTTTTCATTCATGTTCTGCTCCACAGTTCTTAATTTTTTCCTGCTACAAAAGGGATGGTTTAACATTTGTTATGCTTTTACCATTTTTATGGTATGATGTTTGTTTCCAGGAATATTTTTGTGAGCTACAGAATTTAATAATAGTGAATAAATCCTGACTTTTTAATTGGCAGCTTTTCTGTGCTTTAATCCTTCTTTTGCTTTTTATTTTTTGCTGTCTGTACACCAGGCTCATCCTGCTGGTCTGCTACATAGTGAGGCAGCTGAACATTTCAGTTTCTTATTATTAACAGTGCCTTGTTTAAAGTTTTCAATCATAAAGCAAATGATGATTCATCTGAATTTGACTATCTTTGAAATTATACCTGGGTGTCTTCCTACCTCTCCTTTCGCAACAGATTATACAATAGCACTGATTAGTAGCAACATTTGTAATACCTCTTAAAGATTTGTCATAATGGAATACTGGCCGTAATAGTATTTAATTCCCTTATGTCTACACAATTCATCTCTACTGGCTTCTGTTCATTTCTTCACTGTATATTCTCTCTCTGATCTCCACATAACAAGATATGATGTCCCCAAGTTATGAGTTAGGACCAAATGTCAAAAATGCTAATAAATGGCTTTGAGTCTTTGAAATTTACTCCACTAATTGCTATTTACATTTGCATGTCACATTGCTATACTTCTCACAAATGAACTTAATATAGGTGATTTATTAAATTGAGAGGAAGATATGATAAAAGTGGCATTGATAATATTGGCTAACAAGAAAATATATTTTAGAAGATATCTACCTTTTAAAAGGGGCTTCATTAGATTTACCATTCATTTTAAATGTAATTTATGTTTGTACAGTGATGAATATATATATACAGTAGGCATTTCAGCCTTGTCTCTGAAAAAACTTAGAAAGAGACTAGAAATTTATTGTTGATAATTATAATGAATTTGTGTTTATTTTGCCTGCTTAACGTCTGCTACTACAGAGAGACCTTATTTAGCAACTGCCTTGTTTAGTAAACAATTGCAATTAGGACAGTGATAAAAATAATGTAACTTTGAGACCAATCCTCACATTTGCAGGTCTGTAAAGCAAAGGAAAGCGGAAAGATTATTGTAAGCACAGTTGTGACTTCACTTGGCAACTGAATTGAATTGAATTAAATTCTTTATTGTCATAGTGTGTATATACACAGTATACATACAACGAAATTCATATAACACCCAGAAACCAGATCCAACATGTATACACACATGACAATCCCCAAACACCTCCCCACCCACCAAAATTCCCTGCCTCCTAAAAACACACAAGTGTCCATAAATAACTGCTTTATTTAACAACCATGTTGCCAGTACCAATTGTGATCACTAAATGAGGAATACATGTATATTCTGATGATGTGATTTTAAAAGTCAAATTATTATCATTAGCATTTGGCTTGCCATTAAATTGATGTAATCAAACTTCAGTTGAGTAGGCTTCCTGTTTTGTGTCAGCAGTATGTACTGATGTTAGTTGTTCTTGTGCCTCCCAGGATTGGTGCAAAACATCAAGAACTCCGTCAGAAGCAGATCAGGGGACTTGCTGAATATTCCACAGTTCCTATGGGAGCCCCGCCTGATCTTGATGATGATGACACAGACCCAAATTATGCACGAGTGAATCACTTCCAAGAAGTATATCCAGTTATCAATTCCTACCATCTTTCTTGTCCATCTGTTTCTGAAGCTTATGGTGGGTGCAATAATCCTACAGCACCTCTGGACAGGGACCACTTAGAAGGATTATATGCAAGGATAAACAAGCCATCCCATCAGCATGCTCCTGTTGAGAGGTAATACTCATGCCATGGGAGGGAAAAGTTAATGCATGTTTGAATATTTTTAAATGCAACAACCATATTATATGAAATTGACACAGTAACTATATTATATTTTGAAGAATTTGATTTGAGTATTTTTGTCAGTGCTTTCAATGATGTATTCCTGCAGTTTTACAACTGCAAGTGGTATTATGTGAGCAAAATGAAGACCTTGGAACAGTTTGGAAATAAATCAGTGGATGTGTTTGTGAAGAATCCAAGAAGCATTCTATACATCTTTTTTATGAGCGGAATGCTTCACATACATAGCAAGCTTTCCACGCACCTTAGAATGTATCTTCCATAACTCCTCGGCATCCTCACAATTGAAGAAAAGATATTGTTATCCTTGAAATGTATACCCTTTACTATCATTATGATTAAGTTGGGAGCTTCTGCTGAGCTTTTGCAGCCCTTGGCATCTATTTTCTGTGAGAAGGATTTCTTACCTTGCCCTTTTACCTGGGGAAAGTTGCAGGATTTTATTACTGCCTCAACCAGGTACAGCATTTACAATCAATCGTCTCTTTTCCCCTTGTGTCTTCTTCTAATATCCTTTTGTTTTGATGATTTGTTAATAGTCAATGTCACTTTGGTCTCAACCTCCCAAACACATGCATACCCACAATAGAGAGGAAACAGTCCAAATGCAGCTTTAGCAATATGGCACCATGCCCCCAAGTGCTTCAGAAAGCTTTCTGATGCAAATTTGGTCCCATGCTGCTATGATCACAGTTTTTGAAGTTTTTTTAGCACAGGCTTAATGCTGTATAGCCACTGAAGTTCCTTGTCAGCATATTCATATTCTCTCATTCTGAAGTCATTTGCTTTGTTTTTTTTAATGAAGAGGGGGTCCCCTTGTTTACAATGTATAATTTTACTCAAAGGGGCTGAATGATCTTAAATGAGCAAGAATTTATATTTGCTTAAAAGGAAACAAAATAAATTCATATCATTAGTAGATTCATTGCTCAAAGTCATTATGAAATTGCAATTATTATCAAAAGGCTCTTCTTTCACAGACAGACTTAATTGACCTGCCTCAAATTAAATTTCATTAAGTACTTTTCTTTCTGTGCTCTGAAGTCCTGTACCCTAACAGACCTTTGTGTTCAGGTTTTTGGGAAAGGGGAATGACATCATTTTATACCCAATTGCGAGGAAAAAAACCTAGCTGGTTGCTTATACACTGTTTTTTTTACTGTGTAAGCTTACAGTTTGCATTTTCCATATTCTATGGTATTATGTACTTTCAATTAATCCAGAGGAAGATCAGAGAATGATAGTATATTTATGCAGTTTGCAAAACATAGCTTTATAAAATAGATTACTTTTTAGGGTCTTTTGAATAATAAACAGGGAGAAAGAGCCGTTTTTAATCCTTTATGTCAAATTTCTAGGATGATAGTATTATTATTATATTATATGAAAGAAGGCATGCATCCCTAGTCACAGTCATGGAACCATAACAATGAGGTTCTGAAATCTGTCACTGGAGATTACAAAAACTGTCTTTGTTGTGGCTTCCTGTGTTTAAACAAGACACTTTTGAGGAACTCTCCAAAAGTGCAAACAAGACAGATAGCTGGAGGTAACTGAAGAGTGAGGAAGGAGTCACTACTGAGATGTGTGGAACTGTTTGGAGGGGAAAGCAAGCTTTGCTTATCTCTGTTTTTGAAATCAAAAATTGTATTGAATTGAGATTTGTTTTTGGAGAGGCAACTTCAACATTTCTTTATAGCAAACTTTATTTCAAACACTAACATTTTAAATGTTTTAGCTCTCTCATAGATATTATGAACAATATTGCTCATATTGTAGATATAAGTTTTAATGAATTAGGCCATATACTATATCACTTATATAATTAATTACAAAAGCTGACAAAGATGACTGATTGTGGTTTAAACTCATGGTTTTCCCTCATCTGAGAAATCTAGATATTATTATAAATAAATAAATATATATATATAAATAAAAGTATATTTATCCTATGATGCTTTTGATAAAATATTTTAAACGATGGGCTTACCTTTACTATAATGTTGGTATTTGGAGTTTTATTACTATTTGTTAAGTTTTTCCAAGTGTTTAAACTGCAAATGTTCTGAAAATGTCATGGATTCTTATTAAGATTTTATTGAGGTTTTATTCTGATTGGGGGTTCCTGCTGTTTATCTATTTTATGAGTTACCCAGAGTTGTATGTACAATACCCAGAGTTGTATGTACAATATGAGCAACTACGTAAGTCTTTTTAATTTACATCTATTTGTGTGTGTGTGTGTGTAGTGTGTGTGTGTGTGAATACACATACACACACACAAGCAATCAAATGGATGTCTTTTGCCAAAAACAAGTAAGAACACTTTTGAATTGTGGTCATTTGATCACAGAACACTGTGAACGATCATGAAGCTGACCCATTTGTCATGGGTTCATGTGACCAGGGAGGATTGGCACAACCATTTATGATGGTGGGGTTGCTTTATGAGCTATAAAGTGCCAGTTTTGTGAATGTCGTAACTTTGAACGGTCATAATATGAATGGTCATTACACAAGAACTATCTGTATAGAAAGTGAGGCTTCTCAAACTAAAGGGAAAAAATGGAATATGAACAGCAGCTGTGTCTCCTTTGTTGCCTTATCCTCTGTGTGTGCAAACCCCACCCCATATACCATCCACTTATTCCATTCATGTATGTTCGGTAAGGACATCAATTTCCAAATCATTCTGTTTCACACATACACAGATCTAAATGTGGTGTCTCTATTATCATAACACTGGGATGGGGATCACTGGTTTTAGTATCATAGGCTAATGTTTTTCTAGCATAATTTTTATTGTGTGGTTCAGACCATTTTTTTTACCATAGCCCCAATTTTTGAAACACAGGCACACTCCTGCTAGATTAGAATATTGATCTAAGAAAACTGCTTGTAGTAAAATTCTGATGATCTGATCCTTAAAAAATTATATTTTTTTCACAAACTAAAATACTTAGCAAATAATTACTTTAAAACTGAAGGAAATACCAAGAAAGGAAGAGTAAAGAGTAAAAAAAAAGAACCCTAAACCAGTGTTTCTCAAACTCAGCAACTTTATGCTTGATGGAGAATTCTGGAAGTTTAATCCACATATCTCTCTGAGGTTGAGAAACACTGACTTTCCTAGTGAAACCACTCCTGTCACACGTAATCAGGTGAAAGTAGGGAAACCCCTTAAACTTTGACTTGAGTTCAGATGGAATTGTTTTAGATACATGTACAGGAAATCTGACCTCAAACACAAAGTTTAAGTCTAGAATTGAGATGCAAATTTCAGTTTAGAAATTATTGCTTTTGTTTTCTGTTTAAGAGCCTCTCCCTTTTTATGACCCTGTAACCCCTTAATACAGAATAGAGTTGGGGTGACTAGATAAGGCTGACCGTTTTCCTGACCAGATGCCCTTCCTGAAGCCATGTGGAATTCTCAGCAAATATTTTTCTTTGTGTCCTAAGAGAGAAACATCTGCCACTACTAGGACTGAACTCTCAACCTTCTGAGTGGGAAGTTGAGAGTGGAAGATGAGAGTGTTCACCACTTGGCCACCACACAGCTCATGGTGTTTAAGACACTCATTTGAAAGTAAAATAGGTATTATTGTGATACATACAAAAGTTCACTGAAAAAAAATGAAAAGTTGTTGCTGGCAAGGACCTCCCCATCACGTATTGAAAAATAGTTTTAAAACAATTCACTGATATTTATTTTAAAATGTTAATTTATCTGTTTATATTTCAATTTTAGATAAAATTCCATGATGCCCTTTAAACAAAAATAGATTTTATTTTCTCTATCAGGCAGCTCTGTAATAGGAATTTTAACTTTTTATGTCCGTACACATTATTTTTTTTAATCTGCCATTTAATTTTAAATGCTAATATGAGTGTGAGTAATTAAAAAGCCAAAATTGACTATGAAGTTAGTAAGCTGCAAGAATGGGAAAAGAGAGATCATTATAGCTCTGTTCATGGATAGCTATTTGCAAAACAACTGATAATGTGCAAAATGAAGATTTTATAAGTGGCATTTTAAATCAATGGTTAATGGCTTAAAGATTAATTAAATAGTTATACCAAAGAGAACCTGCTACTATCTTGTTTATAGGCCAGTCATTTACAAAGTGAAAGTGCAGGAAAGCTATGCTACTTCCATTTTGCAGACAAACAATTTAGAGTATTTTATTTATCGACAAATGGCAGTCCGATCTCTTCTTGAAAGTTGACCTGAATCGAATAAAACCAATGTTTCGCGGTGTTTTGAACTGGTCTTTAACCTGCCCCTCCAACCCGGTTTTCTGGTTGAAGATTTTCCGTTGAAGGTTTTGTGGTTGAAGATGGCACCCAACAAGGATGGTGAGGTTCTAGCTCCCAGAGAGCTTATCACCTTTTAGATCCTTATGAACTTCCACCTTCATCAGAAGTCGCCTGAAATCATGCGCTAAAGCTCCCGTGAGTAACCAAGATCCCTTGGCAAGCTCCCGCAGTCTTCTCCAGCAACAATAGCCTTTCATCTCCGAGCCTCTGTGAAGCGCAATTCCCCGGTGGCAGGGCAGGGCAATTTCCCAGAAGTAGGACCATTGGACAATCTCCCACAGCCTCCCCAGCAGCCGTAACGCCTGAGCCCCGAGCCCCAGTGGAGCACAAATACCAGGAGGCTATTAGAGAGCCAAGCTGGAGCACAGCCTTCCCCACTCCGCAGCCTTTCCCACTCCACCTTCCAAGCCCCGGACAAATACAATTCACCAGAGGCAGCCAGAAAGCCAAGCCAGAATGGACTTACAGTCAGCCAGTCTAAATCCCAGCAAGAAAAACTTCTTGTTTTTTGTTGTTACCAGTGAACAATCTTGCTAGAAAAATAATCCTACAATCATCTACCTTACCAAACAATCTCTCACCATCCTCTGCCTCATCAGGAAACAATTTAAAAA